AAAAGTTAAAAACTTGTGTACATATTTACAAGACCAGGGCCCACAGAAGCCATCTAGCAATCAGACAGGCCAAGTGTTTCCCTTCTTATTTTAAATTTGAAATGCTAATGTTAATTTTTAGTCCATATTTTCTGTATCATTTCAAAGAAAGATTAAAATATTTGCTGTTCCAATAATAAAATAGAATTTATGTCAACCGCTGTAGTTTTTCACGGTGTTCTTTAGAAAATATTTAGCATTTTTTGGTCTCCAACAGTCTGATATTTCCAATGGCAATTTTCCTGACATCTCTGTGTTTCTTTGGGACTGATGTTTGCCCTGAATATTATTAAAACACTTATTAATCAATCCAAAACGCTGCACTAATTCCAGTTAGTGCAAGACAGATGAAAAAAGGCATTTTTCAGGCAACTGGGAGCCAACTCTGGGCACGCAGCTTTTTTCAGCCAGCTGAGTCTGACACCAGGGTATTGCACTGGATTCTCCTGAGAGAGAGACCCAGCTGTGCTTCTCCTACTGCACATCCCGCCAGATGATCCAAAGGCCTGGCAATTCCAGGGAGACCGGAGCCTTCCCTTCTCCTTGATTGTGCAGGGCTAAAACGATGCCAAGCTCGTTCCAGCACAAGGTGTACCTTGTTATTGCCACTTGTTTATTATTTGGAAACAATTGAAAAGGAATTAGGAATCAGAAAATTCCCATGATTTTTTTTGTTTTTGTTTTTGTTTTCTCTTCTTTCCTCTATTCTAAAGGGTGATTAAAAATGAAAAATAGGCAGGGAGCTCTACTGGCTTCACCACCACAGCATTGCTGAACAGAAGGAACAGACTCCATTCTTCCTCCCTAAACATTTTCTTATTAAACCCACCAGACACAAAGAACATAGAGTCTTTGGTAATCAGGACAATCCCCATCCAAATTTTCAGCCTTCACTTGCTGTCCTAAAAATAGGTGAGCTTGAGGCCATTCTTCCAAAGGGTAAACTGATTTTATGCTCCTGTTTCACAGATAAACCGGAGGGGCAACAAATGTTCAGATGAAGTCAAATAAGGAAAAAAAAAAATCCTGTCAAAGGAGGATTTAAAATGAAAAGAAATGAAATCAATTCAAACTTTCCATCAGAACCTAAATGAAAGGGCTGCTCTGGAGCGCCTGTTTGAAGAGAAATCCCAGTTTCTTATCAAAGGTTGATCAAAGTGCTGCTGGTGGCAGAGTTTGCTGTCCCCTCAGCCCACAGGGGATCCTGCAGGAGAGAGGGGAGCAGGCTCTGCCTGCCCTGAGCTCACATTCACTCACATTCACTCACATTCACTCACATTCACATTCCTGCTCAGGCTGCCCTAGGTGGGCTATTGATTTATGCTGTTCTTGGTGTCCTACACAGAGTTATTCCACCTGCAGGGATCTCTAGGGCTGCAGAAGAGACTGATAGCTCCCTGCCCCATTTTCCCAGGTGAGTTATTCCCTCTCTGCTTGGAGATCATTTTAATATTTTATACAAATGTAATTGCTGGCTCCAGCTATAAAAATCCAGAAAAATCCGCTTGAAATTACTCGCAACTTCTTTAACTGGGAAGTGGAATATACACCTAAAAATCCACTCTGCAGCTGGTTCAGAGAGGGGATTTGGACAAGGATTTTGGCAGACAGTGACTGTATCCCCCTGAGAGCTGGGCTTGGGTCTCTCACATCTTGGTGAGAGCTGCTGATCTCCCAGGGAAATTCTAATAATGCTGTGTCTAAAATAAAATGGAGCCTTTAGAAAGCTGCTTTTCTGAACAATTTCAGAAATTGTTCAGTGATTTTGGCCCAGATAGTTTTGAGGCAATGGAAGGTTAGACTCAAATTTGAAATGTTTCTTAGTTTTAGAAAAAAAGACCTTTGAGTTAGTTTGTCAATCTAAAGAATCACCTAAGATTATCATAAAGTTATCATAAGATACAGAACTAGGCAACATTTTCTAATTTCCTTGTATTATATTTGCAGCTGCATTCAGGCACCTGATTGGTTCCCTTTCTATCCTTACACCTCAGCCCTGACACCAAAGAATGTGTAAAAGGAAAAAAAACTCCTGGAAAAACAGCCTAGTGATACCTATTAACAAAGCAGGCAATTAAAACCAGATGGTTCAGCACCAAATTTTCATCAGAGCCCACACACGTTCCAGAGGAATAACAAAAATAAACAGCTGAATGTAAAACTGTGAGACATATGTTCCCATTAATATTAAAGTAGCGCCACTGGTGTGTGTTTGTGTGTTTATATAAATACATGAGTGGGGTTTTTCTGATATCCTGGTTTATATGGTGGTTATATGAATGGACTTGCAGGCTATTCTGATATTGGAAAGTCAAACATTCCCTTACCTGCTCTGGCTTTGGGAGCCATATGTTCTCATTTCCAGTCCACTGAGAGCCTCCAAGTTCCATATGCACGATGGAAATGTGAATTTACATTTGTAAATTGAGTAAGCACACACTTGTGTAATTTAAACCTGCATATCAGAAGCCCAGAATTCCATTATTCGGAGCAGAACTGCAGGAGCTGCAGCCATGGAGGGAAGGTCTGGTCCCAGTCAGTGGCCACAGGTGGATGTGGGAGAGCTGCAGAGCCTCCAGTGTGTCTGTGGCCAGGATTGTGCAATTGTGGTGTGCCCCACAAGAACCAGGGATCAAATGGCATCTGCAGCCTGCTGTGGGCACTGAGAGGGGGTTTGCTTGTTCCAGGGAGATCTTTTGCTAAGATCATGATGTTTTCTCTCTCAATTCCCCTCAGCTCCATGCAAAAGCAAGATCCAACATATGCTGTGTGCATCCTGTGCCTGCCTGCACACCCCTGCACGTCACTTTGAGTTATCCCAGAGCCTCCTGAGCACTGGGGGAGCAGAGCTTCACTGGGCTGGAAATTCATGCTTCAGCAAATGCATTGTCAATTTGGTGACCATCTGTAACTCGCAGGAGTCTTGTTTTGTGCTGTGGCAATGAATAAGGCAGGGTTTGGGTTTCAGAGCGGGGCCAGGGATGGTCTGGAAGCCCTGAAGCTCATGGGTTCATAAAGCCCAACAGCTCATGGGTTCATAAAGCCCAAGGAGGAAGATTTGGATGCTGGATGAGATCTCTCACTTCAGGGGAGCACATCCCAACACAGCTCCCACACCATTTACACCTGCAGGTGAATGTTGCACACCAGCACAAGGAGCAAGACAAAGCAAACCTCTGGGAGTTCCAGGATGAAGCATTAATTACCCTCATATTGCTCTGAAGAAAACCAGATTTTCAGTGGTGGTCAGTAACAGCCAGAGACAGAATTTGCCTGGGTTGTTTCCCCTGAGTGCAGATGAAATGTGCAATGAGCAATATACACCACAGACAATTAACTATGCATAAGGAATTTCAGCTTCACAAGTAAAACTTTCAAAGAGCAGTTAGGGATGAGTGAAAATGGTGTTTCTCAGTTGAAAAGCATTCCCAGCATTATTTATAGATTTTCTATCCAGCATTCAGGACATGGACATCCCTGAGCAGCCACCACTGCTGGTGGATTACAGCAAACACAGAAACTCAGGCAAGCATGACCACCTTATCAGGGCCAATTTAGGAACTGCATTGTTGGCCACGGTTTCCTTTATTAACAGCAACAGCCACCCTCACTGTCTCATTGAAACAATTTACAAGGAGGCAAAGAGATGCAGTTCACCTAAGCCCTTCCTAAAACAGCTCCAGAAGAGTTTTCTTCCTTTCTGTTCTCTCTAATCCCCGATGAGGAGATGGTGCAGTATTAGTGAATTGCATTCATTATTCACCTGTCATCCTGATAAATGATTTTTCAATAGGGGAACCCATCTAATACATCTTTACTACAGTGAATTAGGGAAACCCAGAACAAAGCACTGTCTCCTTGGCTGCATTTGCATAACCCCAGGAAATATCTGCTCCTAAATCATTTCTGTTCCCTTTCTTGTTTGTTTTCTTACAGCAGGATTTGAACACTGGCATTTGAGAGGGATGCTAATGCATTCCCAGAGGATTAAAATAAAGCTACAGTAAATAGAGTTACCTCTCAGTCACCTCTCTAATGCTTACATCTGTGTGCAGACAGGACCTGAATGGGAATCATTTCCCTCCTCCTCCACAGGTGACTCTGTTGGTTTTGGAGGGTTTGCACTGATCTCACTGCAGAGGTCCTGGTGAAACACAAAACAAACCTAGAGAACAGTCCACAATGGTTTTTTTGCCTGTTGTCAAGCAACAGTGGACTGCTCAAAGTTCCTCAATGGGACAAAATATTCTGCTCTGAAAACTAAACTTAAAAAATACATTCCCAAAAACACAACATTCACAAAAATACAAAAAATACAATACTGCAAACTCCGCTCCTGTTCCCTGAGAAGAGGCTCTTTTTGGTTTCAGGTTTCCTAGCATTGCTATCTCAGAAAAGGACACCACTCTCAGAGTGTTCCCATTAATGCTCATGTCCTAAGCACGGGCACAGAAAATTCCCCATTCAGAGGGGTGGAGGGACAGTGGAACACTTCCAAGGAAATTCAAGGAAATGTTTGTTTTGTAACCTGTTTAGCTGAGATGGAAACAGAGCTCTGTGTCTGGATCAGTTACACACTACCCAGACTTACAGCATTTATACATATCTAAATTATAAAATTGCTTTTAGCTGTTTTGCAGCAAGCTGCTTAGAAACGTGGAAATGTTGGCTGTTATTTGTTGCAGCAGGGAAATCTTATAAACCTTATCAGCCTGTAGATAGGATCTTGTGAAAATTTGCCCTATCTTCTGCTATTTGTACAGCATTTTAAAACTTTTTTATTCAAATAGACTTATTTTACTGGACCAGGCTTAAAACTTTCTTAATCATGTTTAAAACTTTCTTAATCAGGTTTTCTAACCTTATTTTTCTTTAATTTTTTCAAACTTTAAAGTGCTTAGGCTCAGTCACATTTATTCAGTCAGGAACCTGGTCTGGCTAACCACTGTTACCAGAAAATATTTCATCCACAAACAAGTCATTTGTTAGATCCTAAACTGGACTTGAACAGTTTTCTTTTCTGTGGTGAAGACCTACACTGTGATATTGGGTTCTGCCTGAAAGATCTGGAAATTAATTTTAAATTATTTTCACACTCGCTGGATTTAAAAACTTCAATCAGCCTGGCATTAGGCTCAAGTACAGCTAAATAGCCTGATAAATGCGACTTTTGCTGGTATTAGTGGATGGCAGAGGGCTCTGCAGCCTGCTCACTCCTCAGCACTGTGATGCCACACACAATGGAGGCCTGACAAATACAAAATGCCCCAAATTCATTTGATTTAGATGCAAGCTTACATTTGTAAGTGTTGATATTTATCACAGAACTCCTCTATTCACTCAAGGGACATTTATTCACTGTTTCTTCAGGGTGTGCAGGAGGTCCAGCTCCCTTTATTCCAGTGGAAAACTCCATTACAATGAAAAAACCCTGTCACTTGTAGAAGGCACAGATCTGGTTCAGCAGTTGTTGAAATTAAGCAAATACTCGACTTTAAAGCTCTCCTCAGATTTGCCAGTGTAATTACACAGCCCATGGCTAGGCCATGTGCACATATTAACATATATGTGAGCATTTTAACATATATGTGAGCATTTGCATAAGGAAATTTAGCTGTGGCACAAAGTCCAGACAGATTTTTAAGTGCTAACAAGACACCTGAATTGAAAATCTCTGGATTTTATTGCAAGGCTGCCTCAGTGCTGCTGAGCTACATTTCTGAATGGCCACTCCCATAAGCAGTGGAAAATGCTGTTTTCTCTAATTTATCCCTTACTGTTGCCACTGATTTCTGTATAGTCTTACATTTCTCAGTTGCCCTTAATTTCTTTTTTTTTTTTTAACAAGAAATCACCACAGGTATGCAGAAATAAAAAAAAAAAATCTCAGCATATTAATAGAACCATCAATCTTTACACAAACATATGTGTACATATCCTCACACAGATCAGTTTGTGAACATCCCAGAAAAATTGGTGAACTGTTATAAGCAACAGCAGAAACCTTCATTGAGTTCTATACTGATAATGAGCATTAATAGTGCTACTTAAGTAATCAGAGAATTAACAGTGCTGTGCAAACTACAGCAGTATAACATTTATATTGCTGAACAGGAACTGTAAAGTGTTGGGAGGATGCTGAGGGAAGGGAACAAACCTGATTTTAGTCTGCTTTAGCTACAAGACCACAGTCTACAGCAATTAATAAAAAAATTCCTGCATAGGTCTATTTTTAAAATATTACATCAATGCTGTTATTTCTACTGACACTGAGAAATCCTCGTGCAAATGAAAAAAACATTTTCAAACAATTTTTCCTCTCCAACTCTTGCTTATATAATGCAAGAGAAACAAGTGAAAGGGAAGAAGATAAAGCAGATGCATCTCTCTACAATCAGAATTTAGAGCTGAACTTGTGGGGTTGTGCCACACAAACCATTTCCAGCAGCACTCCATCAATGTGATAAATGCTGCCATCCCATCACACACGGCTTTGACACTCACAAAAATCAGTTCTGAGCTTCCCTCTCTGGGAAGGTGAGCTTGGTGTGAGAGCAGAGGAAAATCAAAGCTACAGAACAGCTCATTCCTGTACCAGAATTAGCATTTCTTCCTGGCACTGGCAGCACTGCTGAGACTTGTAAATTATTCAGCATCTACAATCAACATGCCAAATTTCAGTGGAAACCTTGGTGCTTTTGTAGGTAAATTTTTATCTTACCTGATCGTGTTTGATGTGTGACTGACTGAGGTGTTTCACAAAGGCATCTCTGCAGCTTGATTGGGAACGCTGCACTTGTGCTTCCTCAAGGAAAAATTAGCTTCTTGCATTTGAAATTCATGTCATAAATTCCTCAGTATTCAGGTTTACCATCTCTCTTATAGCCTCATTCTATCTCTGGAATCTTGGGCTTTGATGAAGACAGGACAAACTGCAAGGATACAAGCAGATCTGAAAGGACCATCCATTTATTAACTTTAATAAAAGTTATCTTGATCCACAAGGCTCAGACATTTAATTAAAGTAAATGGAAAAGATGCAGTAAAAAAAAAAAAAATCAGAATAAAGTTTAATATTAGATCAGCCTAAGGAAATTCAAGAGAAAACAGAGGGGACTGATAAAATACCTGATGGATGGGGAAGGATATGATAGTTCAAGGAGAGGGGATGTCATGCAGGATTGTCCCAGCTGGAGCGAAGGCAGAGCCCACAGCTGCTGGGTAACTCATTTACATGCACAAGGCTGCCTGGAATGCCACAGAATGCTCCAGAAAAGCCTGAGATAAATTATTGAAGGGCTGGAGATGCTGCTCACACCTTCCCTGCTCTGACTCTGGGCTTGCACTCATCCATCTCCCACCAGTTCAAACCAGCAGCTCAGAAAGGAGGGCCAGTGCTGGGGTAGCAGTGATGCCTTAGGATTGGAGCTTTTATAATTTTATTTGTGATCCTGCAGTTCTTTAGTGTGTAACTCTAAACTCCATGCACACTGTGAGCTGCTGCTTCCCCATTCAAGCACAACAATTCCTCTCCAGGCTGGGAACCAAGGACACCTCACTGCCTCAGGCCTGAGATGGGAACAAAAGTGAGTTTGTGGGAAGTGAACTTGGGGTAAATTACCTTCATTATCATGGGGTAAATTACTTCATTAGCTGAAGCTGTAATTGGAAAATTAACCTTCAATATGCCCAAACTTAAAGTGTGCAAACCCATGACCCATAATCCATTTTTGGGTGTAGGCCCTGGGGGGCTTTGTCTGCCCTAAGTGTACCTGAAGGCCCTTCAATAACTACAACTGCTTTTTAGTCTCAATTCCATCTGGCCTCTGTTTTTAGGCAGCCCCAAAAGGCATCACCAACCCAAGGCTCCTGCAGGCTGCAGCTCCCAGCCAGGAGCTGGAATGAGCAGCTGGGGAAGGAGTTTCAGGATTTGTTCCCCCTTGAGCACAAATTGGACACAGGTGGCACTGAGAATTGTCACTCCCCCCCCTGCAAGCCTGGCTGTTATTCCACTGAGACATTCTCATTGTTGTGATGGGCTTGTCAAGCCTTCACATCCCTAATTTCTCAGTTTTGATGACTAGATCTTTGCTATAATACTAAGAACAGTGCAGGAAGTGAGTGAAGGACTGACAGTCTTTCATTTTTTGAGACACAAAATAAGTCTTTCCTGTCTACAAGTCAATCCTGTTTTATTCTTAGCTTCTCTGGAGCACACTTCCTCAGACAAGAACTAAACTCTTTTGTCAAAGCCATAAATACTGCAGCAACACTGTTCAAACCCTTCCTTCTTGCCTTGTGCTAGCAGATTGCAGTTTGCCTGGTAGCATTAAAGTCCTAAAAGTTTTTGTTTAAAAAGTTGCCATCGAGTAAAAAATAAATAAATTAAAAACCTATAATTTAAATGACATAGAATCCCTGATATTCTCCTGAGGCAATTAATAATCCAAACATAAGCAACAGCTGCCATGTAACATTTTTAGTCAACATCAAGCGAGATTAAGAAGATATTTCTTAAAACAGTGAAATAGAAAATTACATTTTACGTTGGAGCTTGATTGATGATAAAGAAGAAATATTTTATATTCCTTGCACAAAACAGGCTGAAACACAAATATTAATACTATCTAAGACTTCAGTGTGGCTAAATAATTCATAGAAGTTAATTGAATTTTGTTGGTTGGAAAGGGGCTGAGATTGATTCAGCAGTGAGACAGATGAGATAATCCCCTCAGCCTCTGATGTGAGGATTGCCCTTTCCTGGGACCTCCCCAATTTGTTCCTGATTGCCCAGGGATCAGGGAACGCTCCTGGGGACTGCCCACAGCTGCTGAGCCCCAATTCCCTGAGGGCACCACAGGGGAGAGCAAAGTCAGCGCCAATTGCAATGGTCAATTTGTAAATGATCATTGATAGGCACTTATTCTCAGGTAAATATTTTCCTGGCCCTTCCAACCACCAAGAGCTGTTTAAAATTTTCCTTATGTTTTGCATTCTCCAGTTATTTTGCATTGTCCACTTGCATATTAATCTACAATTCACTTTACCTTGCAATACAGCATTGCAGAAACACAAAGACAAATGCATACAAATTAAAAGAATTCTGATGAACAGATCAAATAATGCTCAGTGAGTTGAGAGAAATCAAAACTTCCGCCAGTCTAAAAAACAAAGAAGAAGGAAAATTTGTGTCACTGATGTGAAGAATTTACCCCAGTGCTGGTGTCAGTACCTCCCACCACTCAGACTATGACAGAGAGGTATAAAAGAAACTGAGCAGAACTTTCATGCACAATTTCAATGCTATTGATTAAATAAAAACTCTGATTTGCAGGAAGAAACTGTAGCAGCGAGAGTTGTTGAGGAAGAACAGAAAATTACAGTCTGGAAACCATGATTATTTAAACTATCTCATCTACAGATTAAGGAAATTTATTTTGGTCCTCTCCTGCCTAAATCCCCAGTCCAAATCCTAAACTGTGGTCACTCATTCACTTGGTGAAATACTGCAGCCTGGTGAACATGCTAAACCCAGCATATTAAAAAGGTCAAAATAATATTAAATGTGGGGCTTTGCAAAATGAAAAGAGTCTTTCCAAGCAGTGCCTGGGCTGAGCTCCCAGAGCAAGGCAGAGGAATTCCAGGTTTGCATTCAGTAGGATTGTGCTCCAGGGGGGTGCTGGTACTACATCTTGTAACTAAATTTGGTGAGAGCTATAAATATTATATTTAATATATATTATATAATATTATATGTATATACAATATATTATATATAGTATATGAATATGTTATGTAATATATATATTACATAATATATAATATATATTATGTAATAAATATTATATATTATGTAATATATGTTTTATATATAACATAATGTATATTATATTACATAATGTATATTATATAATATATATAATATTATGTATAATGTATAATATATATTATAAATATATTTTAAATATTAATTCATAGCAGTAAAATTACAAAATACATATTAAAAATAGATATTAACAGATAAATAAAATATTAATTCATATCAGTAGAGACTAGAAAAGCAACACAAGAGGGAGACCACAGTGAGAAACATCAATCCTCCTCCTGTGCAAATGATCAGGAAAAAAAAGGAGAGCATTAAAGGGCTGGGATCCCCTGTTCCTGGGAGCGCTCAGGGAGAATCCCCAGGCTATCCACCTGTCCAGGAATGGGTTATTTTGTTATTTTGTTATTTTGGGTTATTAACCAGCCCTTCTCCATCACTCAGGCACACACACACAGGCATGCAGCCTTGAGCTTGGCACAGGTTGCTGATCACTGATTTTGAGTCTCCTCTTGCAGCTCTGAGCCAGCAGCACCTCAGCAGGGCAGCCTCAGGAGTGCCACTCACAGATATTCTCAGCAAAGCAGCACAGCCTGCTTTTCTTCACCCAAAACCTCTAAAATATGAACACATTGAACCTAACATGTTTATTTTATTATGTGTTTAAAAGGCTCCTGGAAGGACAGGAGAACAAATTTACTGGTACAAGGATGGAAGTTGATAGAGTGACAGGCACTCAGTTTTTGAAATAGAAAAGTCTCCCAGGTGAATTAACAATGACCAGAATCAAGCAATTAATACATAGCTATTATATATTATTATACCCCCAATAACAATTATGCATTATATAATTAATGCCATATATATTATATATGATAATATGTATAATTAATTATACAGATATAATTCATATATATCTGATTACATGTTCTTGCCATGGAAGAGTTAAATCTTATTAGATCTCTGTCTCACTCATCCTCTCCTTTTAAATCACAGTAGAGCAACTACACAAAACAAAGACTTCAGGCTGTTTCCAAGGTGATAAATCAAGAGGCAATATCACATGTGGCAATAAGTTCACATTGCAGTTATTCAAGCATTAAAATCTTCTTTGCTAGAGGATCTGCAAGCCCCTTCCTTCTCATGCCCTCCCCCACCTTTGTAATTTTTTTTCCAAATGAAGGATTATGCAAGGTAAGAAAACACAGGTAGGTATTTGTACTGGCAAGAGCAGAAGAGGCACCTAAATGCAAGACAAACCCTTTTTTTTCACTCAAAAGTACTTTTTTCCCTTTTTTTTTTTTTTTTCTTTTCTGGCTGCTTATGTCCTGAGCAATTGCTTTTATGAGCACAAAACGCTGTTTTTAGAGGAAGTCTGGAGGGGTCTGCACAAGAACATTAAGCAGGGTTGTGACCCAAGAGACTGAAGCTTTGATCCAGTAATGAGATCATCAGAAATACTCCCAGCAGTGCTGCAGATGTGCTGCACAATAAAACAGAACTAACCACAGCATCAAGAAACGCAGATCTAGAACAGCCACACACACAAAGTGGCTGCGGAACAGAAGGGTGAGGAAATAAAGGCTGCAAAATGACTTTCACTCCAAGGACTAAATGATTATTGCAATTTCAACTCCAAAAATACAAACTGCATCCGTCATTTGCATTACAAATATTATCTTGATATCTAAGCAGCACAAAACACAGATTAGAAGGAAAAATGGAGCTTTCAAAATCCAGGAAGATTAGATGGGATCTAATCACCAATGAATTATATCATGGGGGAAATACAGGTATAGTTTTTACCAGAGAACATATTAGTTTCAGTCTTAGTTAAGAAAGCCATCAGGCAGCAGGTGAATTGTGCTACACTTGTTGTTTCCACAGGAGGAGGATTTTCAGGCTCTAAATTGTCTGAAGGATGGAGGAAGGGCTGTCAGTAGAGCTCCTGTTCCACTGGGACAGGAAACTGCATTTACTGCATTTACCTGTGCAACAATTCCTCAGTGACAGCTCCTGTGCCCAGCAGCAGTTGGGGATCACTTATTGAACCCTGATTATCCCAAACTGCGCCTCTAGAGGGGCTCCTCATCTGTGTCACCTCATCAA